CTAGACCTGTTTAGCTTGTAGGTCAGGTCGGGGGTTTTAGACCTGCCAACCCGACAGACCCAACATGACCTGATTGCCACCCCTAGAAATTAGGGACTTCATTGGGAAAATGAAAACGATATTTTCGCTGCTGTTGATTGTTGGCTTGAAGATGGGTAGGAAATTGGGGACTTCAATAGGAAAACAATATTTTCATCTATGGACTTCGTATACACGTCATATATCGGTATCCCTTTTAATGAGCCTAGCTAAGCCTGTGAACCCAAAAAATTGTCCAACCATGGCATATGTGCTCCTAGCCAATATCCCTAAAAGGGAAAGGGGGAAACTCAATCCAACGAAATTTTAATGTTTCATTTGTTTGGGTTTCTCCACAAAGTGGGGAAAACCCTCCAAAAAATGGTGTATGCTGCTTAATGTGGAGAGCACACGGTATTCTTTAGTAAAAGGCGAAAGAATAGTTCGCTTTGTGCTCACCACGCAGCTCCATAACTTACGAATAAGTCTAGTGCTGTTTAAATAACTCATTTCAGTCTCCAGTCGTTACTTGTGCACAATATGGGACTATGATTTTCATTTTGAGTTGTGTTCTTTTCATACTGAGATTATTTGATATCTACCTATTATATGTGGTTCATTTTCTAATAGAAAACACACAAATGGAGCATAAATTTTTACAAACAGGTTCAATAATCTTGATGAAATGGATTATAGCATGTATATTCAATTGCTAGTTAAACAATTATAATAACAGTGGCGGTTTAAATACTTGTTAGGGAACAATATTGATATTGAGATCAAAGTTTTCTTCTTCTCATTTTTCATTTTGAGACTCTGCAGCTGGAGCTTCAGTGGTTATCAAAGTTCAGACGTTCCAAGCCGGGGGAAATGACAGTTGAACTAGTCTCGATAGACCAAACTTGGCAGAGGAGTTCTAAGGCAATTCAGTTTTAAGCGTTGTTCATACTTTTCCGGAGAACACTTGAAGACATTTTTATTTAAGTGCATGTGTGTTGAGCAGTAAAATGTGCTTGCAACATATCAAGAAATAGTTGCTTGATATGCAAATAAAGATCTTCGACTGATGAGTAACTTTAAGTTGGACGGATGATGACGTCTGTGATGCAGCTGGCCAGCTCATAGCGTACATCGTCAGGAGGCAAAGTGTGTTGCAATCTTGAAATGATGGTCATCGCCCAACCCAAAGTCAGATTATTGATACATTCATACTGTACGTCTGTACTGAGCAAAAATGTTACTATCATAAAAGCTTCGTTGAGTGACTTTACCAGAATTCCACCAACCTCAGTATGCAGACTTGAGATATATTGAATGAGGAAAATGCAAGACTTCAATTCCTATGTGTTCACTACAAGTTTGATATCGGATGAGCTCCATGCTACGCAACTGTCAAGAAGAAAGTGTCTACAAAAAAGGGAAAATTGAAGGACCATTACCTACACCCATTCATGGACGAGAGATTTGTTGGAACAGTTTGACAGTCTGACAGCTCAATTCCAAAACTGCGGCCTATCAGATTTTGCGACGCGATTTTCGAGTGGTTGTAGACATCGAAAACTTGCGTTCTTGGGTGGAATGGATTCTCATTGTCGAGTACTATAAAATGGTATACTCAAGAGTCAAAATCGGATCCAAGATGAATGAGAAATTTACGTCCAAAGTCGAGTACTTGTCATGGACATTTGTGGAAATGGGATAATCCCACATTGTGAGATAGAAAGTTTGGAAACAACTTAATATACACATGGTTGAACATAAAGGGTGTAGCCCTTTAGGTTACCACTAATGTGTAATGGAGTGGACCCATGCATGGGCTATGACCCAAATCCAAACCACGCACGTTGTCCGACTTGTTCGGAATTGATTGGATCAAGACTTGTCTAATATCTTTTTGGCCCAAAATAGACTTGTCTAATATCTTTGGGTTACCACTAATGTGTAATGGAGTGGAGCCATACATGGGCTATGGCCCAAATCCAAAACCACACGCGCGCACGCTGTTGTCGTCCAACCAGCTTGGTTTGGATCGGATTGGATCAAGACTTGTCTAATATCTTTTTGGCCCAAAATAGTTTTGTGGTTGCCTTATTAAAAAGACTTCTAACTTCCAAGAATATGGATTTCCATATCCATTTGTTTCCAAGTAAATGGTTTTCCAGAACCATCTATTGCTAAGTATATATGGATACCCAGTATCGTATATTGCTATTTACACAGAATAAAATATCTCTGTGATTTCCATATCTCTCAATCTTATTGCCTATATAAAGAGAAGTCTGTCATACACTTTAGACACAGTAGCAAACAAAACATTCTTCTCTCCTTCTTGTCCGTCCGTCTTGAGAGTGCAGCATAGTGCTAGTTCGACAGGCTTTTGTAGGGTGTGCTCAACCTCAGAAGTTGCAGTAGTTTTATGTTGGGAGACTATTTG